CTGAATTGTTGTGATTCATGGGCAAAATATTTGCAGTGCCAACCTGTGAAGTTTGCTTTACATTCATGAAACAGGATCATATGCTCCATGGATGACAATGACAATAATGCAGCAAAGCATAAGTGTACAGAAAATGTTCATCAAAGAACAGCAGGCCTTTAACAAATCCCTATCCCACAAATATATAATTGTGTCCTTGAAAACGAGCACTTGTTGACTTAACACTTTTCATATTGTAAAGATTCTTTTCTTTAAAATCATCAGCTCATGAGCACTATTTACTGTAAACATGGTTTGATAGTTAGCACATTGCAATAAAAATGTATTTAAAAGCACCTATTTGATCTGACAACAATGGAATTCAGATATATCCAGCTGTAGTTATAGCAGTTCACGGAGCAGTACATACCAAATTTCATTTGCTTTAAACACTGGTCTGATTTTTATGGTTTTTTTATATATCTACCTCAGCTACTTAACTTCTCATAAAAGTGTGAAGGTGCATGTGAGGTAGCACTTCTGGTCCGTAGCTTATAATTCAGCCAGCACAGCTGTGTGAGTAAGTTTCAAAAGACATAGGATCAAATTAAAATGTCAGGTTTTAGGACCTAATTAAAATGTCTTTTTTATGATATACAAGTAGATGTTGTATGCACATTTTTAAACCCTTTCATAAATTTTGGTTATTTGCCATATGCAAGGTAAAAATAAGTGCAAAATAAAATACTGAGTGCAGAGTAAAGTAAATAAGGACATGTACACAGCTTTCTACTTGAAAAGTAATGATTTCTTAGCTATAATGTAGCATCAACAATTTACTGCTGTTTTTCATGTGGATCTAAATTGAGGCTCAGTGCTTTGCAGTGCAGAGGTTATTTTTGCTGAAATTGTTTGTGTTTGTTTGCTTTTCATCTGTGTTCAAATACTGAATACTTGAGGATTTTTAGTCGTGCTTTTCAGTGAGCATGCAGCCTGGATACAAAAAGCAAAAACTTTTATACTGTCTTCCTTAGAACTCATCATTTTCAGTAGATTTATCTCCAAATCCTTAAACAGTTTCAAACAGATAATGCTTTTGAAAAAAGTAACCTGTACAATGTCTCCTGCACTCCTGAATGTGGTCTGAAAATGAGTGTCACACAGCACTCAGGAGATGAGTGCTGCCTTGGGAACATCTTTTCTGCATTTGAGAAAAGGTGAGGGAAACATTTTCTTGCCATGCCAGTGTTAGGCAATTGTTGAGTCAAAAAATATTAAGTGACAGAAAGGATATGTGGGCCACAAACGCTCCAATTTGCATCGAAAAGTCTTCAGATTCTGCTGTTTAAATAACTTGCATATATATGTACAAGAGGAAAATATTAGCTTCATAGATATGCATAAGTTTAAAGTTAGTTTTTATTGCTAAATTGTGTGAGTGTACTACTGTGTGTTCGTCAACACATGGAGGGTGTTTCTGATGAGTCTCTCATTAGTGCCAGATCATTTTTCACTGCAAACAACATTGTAGTGTTAACACCTTAGTTTAATTCTTCACAGTGACGAGAAAACAGAATGACTATTCCCACTTTTTAGAAGGAAATGTGTCAGTAGCAGATACTGCAATGATGAACTTAAAATAAATAATTACATGGATGGTAGCTTTGAATACAAGTAATTAGTTTTGCATTAATGTTGCTTGAGATTTCAGTTGGAATTAGTTAATGATTTTCTACATTTGCATATTCTTAATTAGCTTTTATTTGTTTTTAGTTTTATAAAAAATAATGTTTTTATAAATTATCAAAAATTGTACCAGGCACGTTTAATTTATAATTATGAAAAGCATTTATAAACTACTTTATGTAAAGAAAATAGATTGAACTTGGGAGTAGAGTTTTGGCAGACCATGGCAATAACAACTTCTTATAGAATGTCAACCACATCACAATTTTTCTCTTGTGTCTGAAACCAAACACATGTGAACTAATTAACATATCACGTGAGTTACTAAGCAAGGGGTACTCCTATGAGCTTTGAAGTACATTCTCATCTCATGCTCTGTTCTGATCTAAAAGGATTTTACTTTTTTCAGGGTATGACTTTGGATTTTTTTTAATGTAGTGCAAATATAAAACAGACCTCCGTAAGATCCCTGGTTAACCTTACACCTAACTCAACCTGGACTCACCCTTGCTGCCCTTGGTGAATATTGCACATTCTAAGATAATTGCTATGCAAGTCAGGAAGAACTTGATCCTAAAATTTTTTTTCTAACAACAAGAGGGATTAATGATAGAAAATACTAATAGAAAATAATATTAATAATAATAATAATAGAAAAATAACAATCCCCATTCAAAAAGGGCATTCAAGCATTTCTCTATATACTGAATTTGGCACAGGATTATTTACATGCATAAGCTCATTATATGATTGGGCTCATAAGCCTATACTGATGAGGGTTACAAAAGTCTGAAAATAATTTAAAACTCAAGGCCGGGTTCATAACAAGCAACACATTCAATAAATATTGAGTTTAAGAGGGGATTTCAGTTTATTGAACAAATTTGGGTAGAAGCATGTGAGTAAACGTATCATGAACAGGAAATTAAACTGGGTCAGAAATGCTCACAAATGTATTATAAATGCAATCTTTCCTGCAACATAAACAGGCAATCACAGCAAAGTCAAATATATTGTATCTGTGTGGGGTTAATTTCCATAGTATCAGAACAAATACAGAAAAGCTAACACAGGATTATGCAAGGACAAAAGAATGTTCATAAACAGAACTGACTGCAGCTTAAGTCATTTTCTCTGCCTTAATGCCCCCTAGGCACTGTGAGGAAAGGGTCAGAAATAACAGAAAGAAAAAAAAAGTACTTTCAAATATAATCATATTTTCTTATTTTTTTTCCCAGAGCAAGTGCAAACTGAAAATTAAAAAAAAAAAAATTATTCAGCTGTACATAATTTGACAGCATCAGTTCTGTATCAATTGAGAGAGAAATATGTTCTTCCTATGACATTTCATCAGTATCTTGGCAGAATGATGGCCTTATGTATAGTTTCTATATGACAAACCAAATTCAGCATTTTCATGGGCTACTATTATTATCTGGTAAAATATAGGACCAAAGTAGAAAAAAATGCAAAATCAGGAATACTTTTAATCTACAAAATCAATCCACTATGTGATCTGAATGTCTATTATGAATGTCAGTGTCTATCAACTACCTAAAACCAACTTCCATAAGACTTTTAAAGTAGCAAAAATAGATTTTTTTTTAAACTAACACATTTATAAAGCACATATGAAGCCAGAATCTTTTCAATCCCATCTTTGAGGTATGCATGGCATAATTCTGAATACGAACAGGATAATATATCACTAAATTATTATTTTCACTGAGTCAATATCCATTTTTGTTATTTTGTTATTTTTATCCTTTTTGTTTACATTATATCCAGTGAATCAAATACAGTTTTCTAGTAGGAAGATTTAATTTAATTAATGGCATGAAATAGTATTAGGCATGTTCTATTGTATGAAGCTTTTCAATTATGATTTTCTCATGTAAAGTCAACTTGAAAATCAAAAATTTCTAATCTTGAGAGGGTCTGTATTAAACAGAACTTGGAGCTTTTTCTCCTTATAGCTGCTTCACAAGCAATTGGATGGTAAAATAATGCTAATATTCTATTCACATGAATGCATTAGTAGTTCATTTATTTGTAAAAAAAGCTATTGTTATTTATGATGGTGATATCCTTGAAACTGAGCATGTTTTAACAAAGTCCTCACACTGTAAAAGCCCAGCCTGGTATTGTAGAATACACAAACATACTGATATGGCCAGTGGATTAAAAGTCATAAAGTCATGCCAAAATCCCTTACAGAGTGTCATGCCTTAATGCAGCAGTAACATTGACCATCTAAGGCCAGAGAACAATACTTGCACCATTTCAAAAGACAAGATAAAACCATGACTTTTGTGCTTGTCTCCTTTGCCTCAGCCCAAGTCAACAGCAAAACTCCTGTCATTTACAGAGGAAGCGACATTAATTTGTCTTACCTTGTCTCTAATGATCACATTATATTTTTTTACTCAGCTGCTGCAAATTGGCCTAGAGAGATTAAATTTTGGAGATTCTTCTCTTTCTCCTGCACATAAAAAGTACAGGAATCCATCATATTGCTTCCATGGGAGATCCTGATGCTATAAAGAAAACAACACTAGCACAGCCAGCTCCTTAGAAATTAGTTTCCACAAATAGATCCTATGCTTCTGCTGATAAAATTCAGTCGCAATGGTTTTCATAGGAAAAAAGAAAGACTTAGGTATCTGGGACAATTTATTTATATACATGATCACAAAAAGCTTTCCCCAGTATTTTCTTCCAGCAGTGCAAGTAAGCATGGAATATTTTATTTATTTATTTATTTATTTTATTCATTTATTTTTGTCAGCTGTCTGAGTTAGTTAAAGTTTTAAATTCTAAAAAGACATTTTTCTTTACTTGTATCCTGGAAACCTATCTAGTATTTTTTTTATTTAATTCTCTATCAGATCAAGCTAAGTTAAAGAGTCAGAGTGAAAAAAAACTAGATCAGTAAAAATTGTTATTGTTACTTTATAAAAATCTTTTTGTTACTTTAGCTTGAAATTATGATTTGAGGGCTTTTATAAGGCTTTCCAGATCCTGAGTGAAAGACAAGATGTATTTATTCTGGTATTCACCCTTCTATATGTACAAGGCAAAAGAAGTAAAAGGATCAAAATAAATGCTGAACTTGAGATTTAGAAGCAAAACGCTGCAACAACAACACTGGAGCTAATATAAGACAAACATTATTAATACTGTGTTTTGCACTTAGGAGCAAAGCTGGGTTCCTTTTGTTAAAAAAAGTTTAGTAACCAAAATCAGCTGCATTTCCGGCAGTTCCTATGTCTATCTCACAGGAAGAATGACTACTGAAAGAATGGAATCCCTAAAAATTCCTTTTCCTCTTGTAGGATCAGCTGATCCACACCCTCCAACTTGCAGTGGGGACGAGTTCCCGTGTGCTTATGTGCAGCAATGTTTGCCCCTCGCCGCGCGGTGCAACGGGGTCGAAGAGTGCATGGATGGCAGTGATGAAATGAGCTGCCCCATGGAGGTGCCCACCACCACCATGTCCCCGGGCTCCTGCAGGGAAGCAGAGTTCCTGTGTCCTTCCCAAGGCTGTGTCCTGTCCCTCCTGCTGTGCGATGGTGTCCCTGACTGCCGCCTCGGCGAAGATGAAGCTGGCTGCCGTAAGTTACGTCCATGGTGGTGGTTATGGCGATGTTAACTTACCTGCCTAAACCACTGACAGTTTAGGAAAGAAAAAGAGCAACATAGTAAAGTTTAGTGTAAAAGTCATCATTCCCTTGTCAAATAAACCCCTATTTGTGTCACATATCATGCATTAATTGCAGAGATGCTTTACATTTCTAAATAATTTTGCTTATGCATTTTAATATTCTGGTTATCATTTGGTAAATGTTTTTAAAAATTGCATATGTGTTTCTGTTAATATTTACAAGTATTGCCACATTTTTTCCTTGAATCAGTCAGCTGCATTTGCATTGGCTCTGTAACCTCTGATCATGATATGAGAGAAAGATAGGCTTCTGTAGTTCTGTTATTCAGTAACATTTAAGGCTGTCCTGACCTTTCAAGGATTTTGAAATCAAGTATGTTCATGAAGTAGCAGCAATCTCCACCTCAAGCAAGGAAAAGGGCTCACAAACAAAATACAAGGTCAATAGGCTTTGAAATGTAACTGTCATGAGGTGACGTGGAGAAGTATCTGAAACAAATAGACACAAATGTGAGTATCTGCCATTTAAAAATATTTCATTATTAGCAGATGAACAGAGGCCAAATGTTTCATTCCAAGAATTTAAAAATAATTAGCTACACAGAAAAAAAAAGAAAACAAGAAAAGAAGACTTTTACCTATAAGCACTTTTCTTTCTAAACCTCTCATGCTCTAAAACTTTTTTTAACATTTTTCTTATCTTTATCAGAATGGAAAAAATTGGTAAAAAAATCAGTTTCCAGTGGGTTATATATTCATGTTCTTCAATATTTTCTATCAAATCTACTAAATATAAAGGCAGGCTACTGCACATTAAATTTAATTTAGCAAAGTAGTCTACCAAACTGGCATGGATTTGGCAGACTCTCTGTGTAAGTCTTTTATTTTGAAGTGAACTCTGTGGTTTTGTTGACAGAAGACATGATTTTAGAGATAACTTTGATGTTAAATTCTACATATCCTGAAGACATGTAGAAATTTTGCATGTTCCTTTCTTCAAATAAACTTGTCATGCTTAATCTTCATTTGACCTTGTTTCCTCCTCAATCTGTCCTCTGGTAGAGACATCCATACTGTGTTCTATTACATGCACATCCCAACTCCACACCAAAGAAGTTGGTGTGGAACCTCAAAATCTGAAAGCCAAAAGATTTCCATGATTTTGTGTATTACCCAAGCAATTGAGATAATGCTTTGTTTTGTTTATTTGACCTCTTTGACTTCAAAACAAAACCCAGGGGTTAAGAAGAAATTAAATCCTGGTCTCTTCAAAGAAAAAATATTCTCCATAGGTATTTCACAGCTTTGGGGTTCTCAGTCTGAAGAAAACTTAGTCAAGTCTGTACTTCATTGTTACTCCAAAATTCAGTTCATAGTAAATAAACATGTAAGCATTGATAGCATAAGATAGAAAATACAGAAGCAGTAATTCTTGTTTCTTCTCTGAAGAAGATAATTCAGAGAAGCAAAACAAAGCAGAGAAGAAGGCAAAGCAAAAAGAAAATTATTTGTGTGAGTTTGGAATTAAATCAATGGAAAGATGATTACTGTCACAGCTGGTGCTGAGATCCAGCTGCGAATGCCATGACAGCACAATGTTTAATCTTTATCTTCCTACTTATAACAGGTGAAAACCCATAGAAGTTTGTCAACTGGGGAAGGCCAGAGAGAAAACATAAATATCTCATAAGCTTCATTCTTTTATTGAAATTATGCATGATCTACAAAATTGATTGTTGTGCTAGTAACTCCAACCTATGTGTACTCCAATAATAGCACAGATTGAAAGTAGGGATATATTTTTTTAGGTTTTAGATAGATGGTTTTTTTCCTTGATGCAGATCAAATCTACCTGATCATTTTAGAAAACTTCAGTTTAGGAATTACTGTCACTTTCCATTTTTTGTCCCATAGCAATTTTATTCATTTAAGTGCAAAACAAAACACTTAACACTATTTAAGTGTAGAACAAAAATGTTCTGGGTTCTGAATTCAGGAATTCATCAGGGAAAGTTTTCTTTTGTGTTAAAGACTAGTTGTCAAAATGCATCTTGCAGAGATTAAGGATAAAGCCTTAAAAGAGGCTAGGACAAAAAAACCCCAACCAAACAAAAAAACATTGGTCAAGTCCCTACTAAAAACACAGTTTCTACCACAGAAATGCTTTTCTTCACAACTTAGGAATTTATGCAGACAGAATATCCTGTGGAGTTCACATAGCAGTTAGGTTGTACAACATTATGCTAATACTGTTTTGTACTTACTAATGAAGTGGATTTTATTACTTGTTGCATTGAACAAAAAAATTCTGGAAGTGTTTTCCAGTTAAAGATATTCTACTTGGCTGGCTCTCTTCTTGCTGACAATTTTAGTGAAAGGGGTATTACCTCACATATTTAGTGTTTTATGTGCCTGATTAAATACTAAGGGTGTAAAACAAACATATTAACACCAGTGGGATGTATACATTAGTTTTTCACATACCAACATCCTTTTACACCTGCATCCTCTGATTGAAGTTCTAATAGCAATGAATAAAGAGTAATTTCTCAGTTTTCTGTAGTGCACCAAAATGTATCTCTTGTGATTTGGTAAGTTTTAAATACCTATAAAATAATAATAAAATTAGACTTTCAAAGTGGCTGTGATATCATTATCCCTTCTACTGGTTTAATTTGCACCTGGAAAATTAAATATAGATGAAAATTGGATATTTTTATTTTCATATCTTTACTATTTTTAGTGTCTCCATGTAGTCTTTACATTCTTTACCTCAGCACCAATAACTTGGTGTCATTGTCCTTAATTGCAAAATTTTCAACTGTTAGGTCCATTGCTACTACTGTTCCCTCTGTAATGTGTTAAAATTATGTGTAAACAAATTGATTCCTTAATTTTGAAACTAGTTGTTGAATGAGAGTTAATTATGTTTGCTGATATCATTTCTATGGGTTTTCTTTGGGATCTTGCAGTATACACTCTCAACATTGTGAGTTAATATGCACTCCTTCACAAATATTACATGGAAAAATTCAGTTTCTGTACCATCTGTGCTCTGTATTTGTTTACTTATTTAGCATCTCAGTAGTAAAGTTGCATGTCTTTGAAGATGAAAGCTTGGAGAGGTCAGACAGATGCAAGTTAATATCCTACAGTATGAATCAAGTTTTCTGCTAGTTTTTGAACAGTGAGAAAAAAAATACAGCTGATGATAACGACCATGTTATTTTTCATTCCAGCCATTAAAGATTGTTCCAATGGTTCTTTGTTATGTGCTTCAACTAATCAATGTATACCACTCTCCCAGCGTTGTGATGGAATTGTAGACTGCATTGATTCCAGCCTTGATGAATCTGGCTGTTCAGGTACATAGTTTTGCATAAAAATATCATTTGAAACAAATAAAGTGTAGTTATTTCCTACTGAATGTTTTGACAGACCTCAAAGTTGACCAAAGTTCCTCTGCTAAAAGTTTGTCAAATTATATTAGGCATGAATTTTCCTGATGAAAGTATGACACAGATGAAGTGAGAAAAAGATGAAGGATGATATGCTTAAAACCTTAACATCTTCATAAGGGGTGTTTCTTACTGTATAAGCACATTGTTAAAAAAAAAAAAAACAACCTAGCCCTTTGTAGTAAACTTTTAGGATTTCCCTTGATTTTAGGCAGTTGAGTTAACTCATATTGTTGAGTAAAAGGCTTGTGGTGGTTTGGCTTATTTGTGGTTTCGTTGGCTTTTTATTGGGTTTTTTCATTGGTTTTTTTCTGGTTTTTTTTTTTTTTTTTTTTTTTTTTTCCCCCAAGTGTATTACAAATCCAGACTGGAAAATAAACTAAATAGCATTTTTTTAGCACAGTGCATTTGACACAATATTCATGTTTGGTTTGCAGTAGGTAAATGGTGGAGAAAGATAACTACAAGACAATAATACACATTCAATGTGAATTAGCTTTTTATTAACAAAATCTAACAAATACATGGACAATGGTGACATAAATAATTAAATCTGGATTCAGAATGTCTCATTCAATGACAGAAAGGTACTGCAGCTCCTTCCCAAGACAGATATAAACTCTTGACCAGTTCTGTGCTGACAGTACTCTGCCAGCTTTGCTGAAGTTGCATTAGCTGAGAATTTAACTCTCTATTTTTATATTATTTATTACTTACGTGATAAAATTCACAACATACATGCATTGCAGTTATATAATTAATTATAATATATTAAATGTCTGTTCACAAACTAAAAGTTTTACAAACACTTATTGGTAGAAGGCATCCAAAAGTTTCTTTGGGAGTGAAATTGACCACAAGTATTGTGTTCACTATCTCTCATAGCATCATGAAATGGTTTGGATTGGAAAGGACTTTAAAAATCACAAAGTTGCAACGGCCCTGACTTGGGCAGGGACACCTTCACAAGCCCAGATTGCTCATGTGACGGAAGGAATCATACTTCAACATTAAAAAATACCACTTATATAATTTTGAGAGAATTCATATTTGGTAAATTGGATTTATAAAAATTATTTTAAATTAAAAGGAATTTATCCAGAAATTAATTCAATATAGAAGAATATATAGCATAAACTAGTAGACATGCATAACAGTAATTTAAAAATTTTCCACTATCTTTCCAGAAAGACCTTTTAAGTAAGCAATGCACTTTTCAAAATTTTATCCTGAAATGGGAGGTGTCCACAGTGAATAGCACTGTTATATCCTGCAATAAACAATTTCACTTTGCATATATCCAAAATTCTCTACATCTAATTGGTAAATTACCAGTTATTTTCATACTATAGAAGATTGAGGATATTCGTTTTTTATTTTTAGTTTTTTCTTGCTAAAGCAATGTAAAACTAAGCTTTAGTAAAATTAAATGTGGTGATGTGGAAATCCAAATTAATAGACATCAAAAGGTTTTAAAGAATATCACTAAGTACTTAAACTTAGTTTAAATACTTAGCTTAAGTATGAAAGCCTGATTTCCCTCATTCTTATGAGAATGTGATTCTAACTGTTAAAATTCTAAATATCTCTAATAAAAGGCACAAAGAAGTGTCTGTTCACCAGCCCTATATAAAACCTATTAAAAATTATGTAGACTTAGGTACTAATTAAATATTAGTTCAATTCCTTTGTGTCTTATTTTATATATTCCTGTTGTTTGAAAATCAAGTACGTGGCAAAAATTCCATTTCCAGAGGCAGATGAAAATCTCACTTGAGAAAAATTTGAAGCCGGTTCAAGTGCAGCATCAGGATTTCAATAAGCTCAAGAGCTCTCCAATGCTTGTAATATTCTTAGGACTTCACACTTGTATCAGCAAATCCAGATTAAAAAAAAAAAAAAAAGTTTTACAATTTGTACCTTTATGTTTGCAGCTTGTCCTGAAGGATACTGCAAAAATGGCGGAAAATGCACCATCAAAGATGACATTCCATTGTGCCAGTAAGTTTCATTGGCAATTGACTTGTGCTTGAGGTTGGAGAAAGATGCTGTTGAACAGGTGGATTACTCCCCAGGGATTGAAATTATATTTGGTAGAAGTGTATTTTTAAAAGTCTCTGTATTCTACACTACTTTTATTTACATTTAGTGAGTTAAACCATATTTTGAGAAGAATGTTATTTATCAGATAGAATTTTCTGTAACTTTTATCTTTTATTTTATGAGACAATGTGTTGGCCTGACACCCTAAGTTTTCTGTTTCGTGTTTCACTGCAACATTTCAAAACACATGTTTCTGTGCCTTATTTGCAGCAGGGTATTGTATACCTCAGATGAGATTTTACAGCAGGCCACATACTCATCTTTATCTTCCTGTTAGGAATTTGGAAAAAGAAAAGGTTTTTTCCACTTGTCTCCCCTCAAAAAAGGGGTTAAAAATATGCTTGCATTTTTTTCTGGAAATATTCTCTGATAAAAAAATAACGTATGCAATTCCAGTGTAGAATGTATGAGCTGTTAGAAAGAGTGTCAGGATAACTGAAGCAACTCATTTGCACAAGATATCAATGTTTCCCTTTGGGAAATTAAAGGAGAATTTATAAGTGCAAAGAAAGTGATGGTATGTGTTATCATGCTTTTGTCCTTCACATGCTTCAGTGGAGCTTGCCAGAGTTTGCCAAATTACTAAAGTAACTGTTTTATCACAGTAGCCATCTTAGTCAAGATTAGATGCTAAGGTTTGTCTCCTAGTTGCCAGGAGATGCACATTAATAAGCCTGCTTTGTCTTTCAAGACAGGTTTATTCTTGATTAGATGAAGAAATGTAATATATAGCATATAAAATATAGGGACATTCATATAGCGTATTTCAATTTGGATCTAAGAAAAAACTGTTAATTACTTGCAGATTTCCCCAAAAATGTCCACTATAATAGAACAGAGAATAGTCTCTTGACAGATCGTGCCAAGGATCTTGAAATTTCATCAAGGTGGCTGCTTCAAAATTTTTTTGAATACATAAAGAGAGAAAGGGGACAAAAACCATAGGGAAAGACTGCAGAACGGAAAATCAGCAGAAAATAAAGGGGCTTGCAATAGGAGGTTTGTAATTTGTAGATTAAATCATTGATCAAAAATAAAATTGCTTGTAAGGACAAAGCTCTGGGGGAGTAATTGAGATTTTAAGTGTATGAGAGAATTATGAGAATTGAACTTCTGTTCAGACTTGCAAGAGAAAGTAATCCAAACTAGCAAATCTTTTTTATCCACAGAAATAAAAGACAGTTGGAATAAAAATAGTATATTAAACTAGTAAGTAGGGTTGTTTACCTCAGTGTTCAGTAAGAAACATATTTAATTCTGATGTAATGCACAGGCAATCTGAGCAAAGGCACAGAAACAAAAATTCCTTGACTGGGGGGCTAAGATAACTTCAAGAGCTGTACAAGGTTGTGTTGGGTCATCTCTAGAGAAGAATGCAGAACACCAGTGCATGTTGCAATGGCTTTCTGAAAACTGCCTCTAGGGGAAGTGGCTGGAGAACAACAAAAGGAGAAGAAAATGGATGGCCAGATCAACAGTCTGATATCAGTACCATTCAGGGCTTTGTAAGATTTTTAAGGAATTACTTATATACATATTATATAAGCACTTTTATTATTTTCTGTACTAAGATAAACTTCTCCATGAGTTTCTGAAATTCCACATCAAGACCATAAAAAGACAAAAAAACCCCCCAAAAATATACCTAAAATAATTAAAAATGTATATCAGTTTTCAATACCCAAGGGGAAAACAACAAAAATCCAAAACCAAAAACAAAACAACCCCACAAAACCCCAAAACAACTGAACAAAAATAGAAGTTACAGGAAAAATATGCTATTTTTTTGCCTTTTAATTCTCAGTTCATGTTCTAAATTTCCTGAAAGATAAATTCTAAATTTAGCTAGAAATATCTTCCTCCCTTGAGAGCAGCTGTTCTTCTAGACTGCAGGATAGGTCAGGAGAAAAAGCAGAGTGTGTAAGAGTGAAGGAAGCCTGTTCCACAGCAAGGAGACTCCTGAAAAGAACACAGTATAGATACTGCCCTGCCACAGAAATGACAGAGTCTTCACAGATACCCAGATGTAATTGTGTGAGGATCAAAGTGCTCTTAAAAGTCCCCGGGTTTGACTAATACTATTCAGAGACACAGCAGAAAAGGAGAAAATTTAACATATTCTTTTCTTACTATTTTATCTGGCAAAATGGATTCTGATCTTCACCCAAGTGAGATGATTGTTCTGTAATTTCTATAAAACAAAACTGGAGTCTGAAGTTCAAAAGTCATTCTCAGGCCTCCCTGAGAATGTTGGTTTAACAAAAAATTGGAGTGGACTGGTCTCAAAGCTTCATTTGTTCCATCATGTTTCTATAAAAACTGAAATTGCTGCTCATTTTAGGTTAGTTTGAGGTAAACTGATATAAAAGAATAGAGTTTCTGGAAAATATTTTTGCTGGTGATATCAGCTGCGTTTTTCTGTAGGTTTAATGCAGTGGGGTTGAAGTAGTTGACTATATAGGCTTCCAGTAGTTTAACCTGCAAGCATGGGAACAGTGAATTTGAAGTAGCTGCTTAGGCAAAAGAAAGCACTAGCATTTAACTATTTGAAGAGACTGAAAGCAGATAGTAGATTTTATACATTTAGTGTTTCTCCAGTTCCTTTGATGCTGTATGTTTTTACATGTATGAACTAGTGTAGCTTTGATATATATGAAGTTAATACTTAGGGCATCACCCTTTCTTTCAAGATGATGTAACTAAGAGGGATCAGTAGCAGGGGGAGGTGAGTTCTGACATCCCTCTGTGAAGAGATGCCTGTAGACCTGGTGGAAATGATAGCAGTGGATACAAGTCTAGACAAAATTTCAGTATATATTGGAGTAGGTAAGAAAGCTGATGTATCATATTGCTGTAATCTTTGTTCATGCTACTGAAGACAGCTTCTCTAGGCTAGTGCATAATGACTGTATTAACATCGGTGAGATGCCCAGTGTTTGAGAATGTGACTGCTTCTGTCGGATGTTCTCAGTGAGAGTATGTGAGTAAATGCAGAGCAGTGATGCTTGGGTGATGGTTATCTTCCTACTTGAACAAAACACAGCTGTCCTGCTCCTGCTTGGCATTTGAATTTTTGAGTTAGCTTTGAAAGTCACTCGCACTTGTTTCTGCTACTTGGTCAGGAGAGTAATTGGGGTGCATATTGAATATATTTGTCTTGTACTTTCTATTTCATGGTATTTTCTTTGTCTGCCAGACTAGATGGAGCTTTAATCTGAAATCCTATGGCTATTCTCATTTGACAAAATGTGACTTCTATTTGTCTTGACTGAGGTCTCTTTTGTAGTTAATGAGCAGCCATTTAGCTGGTGCTGGCAGTCAGCTACTGTGATTGCACCAGCAAATCATGATAATTTGAGCAATAATGACTAGAATTTTTGCAATTTCCATCCTCCAATTTCAAAATCATTCCTTTGATTATATGTATGCTTTCCCAAACTGTTTGTCCAGTGTCTCTTTGTTTTAATTGTGCTTTAAAGTGAAACCACAGACTCCTGGAAACATAGAAGAGGAATGAATATAGAGGAGAACAAGCAAGCTGGGAAAAGTGTGTTTCTAACACACTAAAGTGGAAGGGTGAGGCTTCAATGATTGTACTGGTGTTGAAAGAAAAAAACAAACACTGATAACAGAAAAAAAAAAAACAAACCAAAACACCAAACCAGTCTCTTCACACATGTTTTTCATTCTCATCTAACTGGACAAGAGTAATATTAAACATGCACATTCAAATGTACTAAACATCACATATAATAAATATTAAATCATCATTGAATCATAAAATGGTTTGGGTTGGAAGGAACCTGTAAAGTTCACCTAATCCAACCTCTCTGCAATGAGTAATTTTATCTTCAATTAGATCAGGTTGCTCAGAACCCCATCCAAACTGACTGTGAATCTGCCACATCTCCGGGCAATATATTTCAGCATTTCACAAAGTTAGTTGTGAAAATTTATTTCTTATATCTAGTCTGAATCTCCCCTTCTTCACTTTAAAACCAGTATGCCTGACCCTGTTTCTGCAGGCCTTACTAAAAATAGAATTGTTTAGGTTGGAAATGGCCTAATACAATGCTTGAATTTCTCTTTATTTTACACAAATATTTTCAACATAATATACCAAATTTCAGAGTAGTTACACTGACTAGTACTAAAGAGCATATGAGAGCACTTTTATTATTGTCTGAACTGTAAGAAGGTTCTATCCTTTAACAAAAAGAAAATGTAATTGCATTCACTTATTTAAACAATCATATACAGATTAGAAATAAATCTTCATTAAACAGTTTTAAAATTCACTGAATATGTAGCATCTAACTGAGCTGTGAAGATTGAAATTGCAAGAAGTCATTATAAATAGATAATTAAATAATATTGTCTTTGTAGATGTGTATCTAAATGATGATTTGGCCCAAAATTGAGAAACAGAACTACTTTGTTTCTTTTATGTGATAAAAGTAAAGATTACTTTCTCTTTTGTTTCTTTAGAAAAAGAATTGGTTTTACAGGCTAATCAATCATTCAGAGAAGTGGAATTCTTGCTTATTTTTTTTTTTAGAAAAGCTACAGGTTAATTGGTCCTCTAGTTTTTACTTCTTTCCTTCTCATTTTTGCAATGATCTTTCTACTCTAATGCAAATGATCTGTTTTCCATTGCAAACAAAGTATTTTATCATGGGTAGTATGATAGCAAACATCATTTCATGAAATTTGAAGAAAAAAGGGTAGGTTTTTTTTTTGGTAGTTGAAGTATTTTTTCAGAATCTGGTTTTGTTTTCAAAATACTAGTTTCTAGTAAGCATGATAAAGTTTTGAGGAGCCCTGCAAGTGGCATGGAGCATCACATAATGTCTTGGTAAACTGTTTGATACCTTTCCCGGTTAAGTATCATATATGGC